AAGCTAACAATAGTGTGTTCTATTCTAAAAAAGTACTGAATATTCCATATTCAGAGAAACAGCAGAATTATTTTGCAAATTTGAGGCCCCAGGGGCAAAAAACAGAGAAAAATCCCTATCCCCTGGGTCATTAAACAGATAATTTAGCCTGTAAAGGCTATTTATTTATTTTTATAAAGGTCTTCTGTATAGAAAACAATAACTGTGCTTTGAATTTTTGCAAAAATCAGATTCCAGCAGTCAGTTCTATAAAACTTTTAGTGATTTCATATATCAGACTGGTAACTTCATACATACAATTTTTGCAAATATGGCTTTGTTTAAACACTTCCAGCCAAATTATGTTAGATATATAGTAAGATATAATATCATTGTGACATGAATTCTTCACTGACCATTTGAGGCAGAAATTGTAATATTTTAAAGATAAATAGGCATACAGTAAGATGTGGAGTGGAGACATAGGCAGGATTGGATACTTTATATAATCTTGAATGTTGTAATGATTAACTACTAAACTTTACATTTATAGTATTCTGAAATGATTTCAATTTGTTATCAGAATAGTTTCATACAAGTTCTATGCATTTTATGTCAGAAAACATGCACATAGGGTAAGCTGATATTAATTTAAGTCTTGTTTTCAAATTCTTTAAAAAATTGAAACAGGGGTGGGGGTATAAAATATACCGTAGAAGAAAAGTTAGAGCAAATGCAGTGATTTCTTTTAGGCTATGATTCTGATAAATAACTATTGTTGTGAGAAAAAGTGTTTTTTAAGAGTTTTCTATTTGAATAAATATTAGTTGGTTGCACTTTGTAAATACAGCTGTTTCACAAACCACGCCTCTTTTGGGGAGATAAACTGTTTTGTTGACGTACTGGTTCCCAGATATGATCTCTATGTTTCATCTCGTAGAGACATAACTTGGGAATATTACCAGTATATATAAAAAATTATAGCGGCAGCTACGATATCTTGAAATATGCCGCACAGCCCTATATTTTGACCTTTGAAAAAAATAGTAGTGCATATCAGCTTTTCATTCTATGATATAATTTTTTTCGAAACTTCATAGTAAAAGTGGTACAGTTTTAGCCGTAAAAGGAGTTCCTACGGGAAATTGCATTGTCTATATTTACAGAAATGCAACCTATTATACATTAATATATGATGATAATGTGTATGAAGGTCATCTCTTTTATTCAGAAAGGCTTTGAAAAGTAATGATTTTTTAGGTTACGAATTAGAAAGCTAGAAGGCTTGATAACCTTGGCCGGTTTTGACTAGTCTTTTTGTGTGATTTTAGTTGTATTAATACCAATATTTTTTTACTTTTCTTCAGTTTTCGCCGTTTCTGATGAAGGTTGTCCTAGGGAGTTATGCGAATGCAACACATTTTGGATGTGTGTTTTGTACTTGTCCGTGCATGTTTTTTTTTTTTTATTTTTTATTGCCATGTGTGTCGGGTAGGTTTTTTGGTAGTAGAAATTACAGGATTTTATTTGCATGAACAATACTACAGGTGCCACTGGTAGAGCAGAAAGTGCTTACCCTGTCGGACGTTGTAGTTGAACCCCGGTTTGTAACGCGACTCGTGCTGCTCAATCTTTTTTGTCAGTTGTAATTTGTGGACTTGTTTTCCGTTTTTAAACTGACACGACTAAATCGGGTGAAAGCGTTTGATTACATATATTCCAGGAAAATTTATATTTCATTATATATGTATTTTACAAGTGAATTCTTTTTTACTAATAACGACTTTTTAAACTTACTGTTTGCAGTGTTTTGAACACAAGTACATTGTCCACTATTACATGCTAAATGCCATCCCTGATCACAAGTGAGATGAGAGCACTGGGTGTCCAAGTTATTGTTGCCTGAGCATGTCTCCGCGGTGACATATGCTGTAAAACCATCATTTCATATAAATTTTCATCTTTATGTGCTCTTTTTTTCATTAAAAAATATAAAAGGTAATAATCACAACTGTTAGACATATGACGTACTAGGTTCATAAACAGGAAGGAAGCATTCTGTAGTCAGTTCAAGTAATATAAACATTGAATATGATTTTACAGCATAACTACATAAATGGTGTAATTTCTACCATTTTCATATTTAAATATTCCAAATGCACACTGTTTTTATTTCTATGATTCTTAACAGTTAAATGGGTCTTTTTCTGTAATCTAAGTGCAAAGTTATACAATATTGAAAGTAACCGTTTAAAAAAAAGTTATGAAAAGGTCGATAATGCTCATTGGAAAATGTACAGATTTACTGTCACAATTTCGAATCGGTTGACCGATGCTATGTGTTAACGTCTTATTGTTGTATTTTCTAAATCCGTTCCAACGACCCAACAGTGTTTTAATTTCATTGTTTGGTTTAAAACCAATATAACCGGAACTTGACCATTATTCTGTAGTACATAAGCTTCCGGATCTTGGGCAACAAATTTTAGGTTGGAACCATTCGGGCATGAATGAAGGAAAGCGTCAAAGATGTATGAAATGATAAGAGTAAATCATGGCAAAAATATATGTACGTAAAAAACTGATTACTTGGAAAATGTGATTCTCAGAATAGACGTGATGAAAGTGTTAACCATATTATAGTCCGATTATCTAATGTTGCCAATGAAACATGTCCTATATATAGATAAGAATATATGTATCTGACATGATGTCGGAATTAATTTCTGTTACTTTATAGAAATATACTTTACGTGAGCAAAATTGCACTTACCAATTAGGCAAACTACGAAAACAATAGCGGTCTTCATGTTTGAGACTTTACTAACAGTATGTGAAATGGTAGATTGTCACACAATTTACTATTATATATTGATGGTGTCTTATCTATGATCACGTTCACTTCTTATTATGATAAAGAATCACGAAGTAAATACACGCGATAAATGGCCTACTGGCTGATTCAAGTTGAAATTAAACTGAAGAAATGGAACTCTTTAATAGAAATGTAAAAATGGCCAATTTGGTATATTTAAATTGTTTACATGTGTTGTAATGGTCTTTAAAAGTTTAATGTAATTCGGAGTACCAAAATAAGAACAATTGTTTGTCATTTATTTTTGAAAATTTACTCTAAAAAATGAAAACTAGATATTGAACTTTAAAATCAAGTGAAATACATTAACTCTTCGCAATCACTAGATATTGACCTTTGTAAACAAGTGATACACACGACCATAATTTGTATATTTTTGGGTTGTAATTGCAAAAAAAAACACTACTCAAAAACATAGTTCATGTTCCCACACGTAAACAACTTCTACCCCTCTTGATTTAATGGTTATAACTCATTAAACAAACGAGGCATAATTTTATGACACGAGACATACTGTATATTCAAAAGAAAGATGCACATTTAACACGAAGCAGAGTAAATCAAACAGTTACAGGACTAAATGTGACAATTGGACCGTGTGTATTGACATGATAAAACCTTAATGTGTTTAGTTATAGTAGAACCTACTGGTTTAGCTGTAATCAGAGTAAGGTCAAAACCATTTTTAAATCTATTTTGTTTTATATGGGACATATGTTTACTGAAATATTACATGAAAAGGATAACAATAATCACCCCAAATATTGGACAGTACAACAAATCACACCTACCACCAACACCTGACGTCCGGGGGAAACAGACAACCAAAGACAAACAACAACAAACAGTACAACAAATCACACCTACTACCAACACCTGACTTCCGGGCGAAACAGACAACCAAAGACAAACAACAACAAACAGTACAACAAATCACACCTACCACCAACACCTGACTTCCGGGGGAAACAGACAACCAAAGACAAACAACAACAAACAGTACAACAAACCACACCTACCACCAACACCTGACTTCCGGGGGAAACAGACAACCAAAGACAAACAACAACAAACAGTACAACAAATCACACCTACCACCAACACCTGACTTCCGGGGGAAACAGACAACCAAAGATAAACAACAACAAACAGCACATGGTATAGATACCCTGACTTGGTACAGATAGGCAATTAGACAGCAAAACGTGTATGTCTATTTCGTCCTTGACCTACAAATTGCTACTAGGCAATGTTTTTATTATTATTTTTACACATTAGATTAAAATAAAGCCAGGCATGAACGTAGCCAACTTGAAATGTTCTGTTTTCGGTATTCATTGAATTTTTTGTTTAATGGTATGTGTTTCTTTGGGCTTTTTTGTCATGGTAGGGCCATTCTAAAGATTGCTATGCGGTAAGGGTTTTGCTCATTTTTGAAGGCCGTACGGTGACATACCGTTGCTAACATCTAAATCATTTGGACTCTGGTGGAAAGTTGTCTCATTAACAATCATACCACATCTTCTTATTTTATAGCACACATTAAAGTCAGTGCATCTGTCTGGTTCAAAGCAGGGTATTTCCACATCATATTAACATGTACTAGTTTTGTATATTCATGCACAATATCTCGAAGTTACCATAATGCGATACTCCAGTCAACCCTTGGGGTATAATCAATAAGTATATAGTTTAAACAACATTACTACCAAACTTTATACATAATATATAAACTAAAAAGGCCTTTTAATAATTATCAATCGAAATTGTTGTACTAAAAATCATCCTCTCCTTAATGTTTGTTTTCATTTGTGTAATAATTGTATCATATGTATCATCTTTAATAAAGATTGCAAGTGTGTATGAAGAATTGAAACAACGAATCGTTTTTTTCACAAGAAAATATACATAAATAAATTGTCATCATCTACTTCTATCTTTTCTCAAATGAATAGATTAAAAAAATACATCCATAACATCTTTTTGATCTTTTCAAATGAAAAAATAAAAAAAAAACAATACATCCATATCATCTTTCGAATAAACGTACACATATACACATAACAATACACAGGAACATTTTGAAATGGACATATTGTCACCCGTGATCATCTATGCACCATTGTATTTGATTTATTGAATTAACTGCAAGTTATGATTATTTTATTTGTAAGTAACAATGAACACGATATGAAAATAAATATCAACAATTAACAATGTCTAACAAATAAATTAACCAAATGATTAGCTTGCTTAGATTGTAAAGCATGTCATTTGATATTGCAATAAATGTGGTATAATGAATTCAATTCCTGAAACTCTGCTGCAGATCCATAGCCAGAAATTTTCTTTTTGATGATTTGAAAATTATATGATTTGTACTGGTCTCCTTATCTGTCTAACACACTGTCCCCAAAATTAAAGTCTCCGTGTTGTTATCACAAAGTAGTTAGAGGAATAGCATTGATTTTGAGATGATTTAAACAATCCTCCAAATTGCTAGATTTTGCTTCTACTGTTTTGGTTACATTTGAAAGACGATTTGGTTGAGCGGGAGGATTATATCTTATCCAAGTCATATTTCCTTCTGGTACCCATTCAAAACCAAATTCCCGCGCTAATTTTATCAGTTGCGTATCTTGAACAGGAATGAATGCATACGCCACTTCTGTTTTTGCGAGGCGTTTACGAGTAAGGTCACTAAGAAGTATATTAAAATATCCACACTGTCTGTATTCTGGTCTTATATATAACATAGCCATTGCGCCATTATATTGCATACATATATAGGCTAGGAGATTCCCCTCTTTGTCAGTTACACAACTACTGTCAAAGTTTTGTACAACACCCGAGAAATATCCCTCTAAACCTTCTCTGTATCGTGTCGATTCCCAATCGTCTGTCATGGTTTCCACGTGTTTTTGTTCTAAGGTTCCAAGACATATATCATCTGGTATTCTAAAATATTAAAAGGATTTATATATTGTGGCTGGACTCTTATGTGCATATGTAAATTCTCATAGATTTAATCAAATTTATTAAAAAAAAAATCTATACAGATCTTTAGTTTATTGTAATTGTTTCAATGAGGTATGGTCAGTTTGCGTTTAATTTTTTTAACACCAGGGTCATTTAAATTTGATTTTATCAAAACTCCATGTGTGTACTTTTGAACTTCAACCAATATTTTGGCTAATTTCTTAATACTCGACCAATTAATTACGAATGAAAATAGCTTGAAACAACAATTTTGACAGATTTGGACATAAAATGTATAAGTAGGACATGCTTGACCAAAACCAAAATTGTTTTGAAAGTTAAGTTATATATTGACTATTAGAGATCATTTATTTCGTTTTGGTTGAAGATGTTTTTCAATGTACAATTTTACAAAAACATGCAAACTTTGTAGTTTAGTATCAATATATCTAAAACAGAAATATTACTTATACTGTTTTGATGTTATGGAAAAAATTTTGATAGTTGACAAAAGTTTTCAGCATAATAGATAGTCTTTTTAGTACGTGCATTCAAGCCCAGCCGGGAGGCTTTCTATAACAACTATTTGTTTTTAACCCTGTGGGTGAAACAACTACATGGGGAATAGGTCCTACCACTTATGATATAAAAGTTCGTGTGTGGAGGTAAGTTGAATTATCTATTTTATTAAGATAACTTAACTTCAGAGTCTATTTAAGTTGGTTTAATTTCATGAAATAAGAGTTATTGTGTGTAGGTAAATGGCTGCGCCTTTTAAAAAAACATCTACGAAAATTTTTTACACCCGGTATAAAACGGCATCGTAAATATTAAGTCATATCTAAATTTAACAAATATCTTACTGAGGTAAAGGTGGAGGTTCTGGTTTGGTCCAACAGTACATAAATCTGGATTCCTTTGATGTTACAGTGGCGCCATGTTTTCGACTTAGTTCTGTGATAACAGGTATGATGTCATTTGGTACACCTGTAATATTTTTAAGAAACAACATGAAGTGCTTGGTTCTGATTAATATGACGTCCAGTGGCAAATATTTTGGTTAAACAGAGGCGGTTCCGAGATACCAAGGTGACATTCAAAACTCACAATTCGAGAGAAACTAGCAAGATGAATATTTATAACAGAAATAATTGATTGGTTAAGGTTCTAAAGTTATTTGACATTTAGGTAAACTGTAGGAACACAGGGAAAAAGGACGGTTTAGGTAACAGCAGCAATGTTTCCTAATGAGAAGGGTACTATAAACCATTTACAAAAACAAATCGGCATGCTTATCGTAACTAACAATACTCCTCTTCTTGTCGACTTGTTCCTTTATTCATTTGAGTCTTACTTTGTACATGAGCTCCTCGGGAACTTTCAAGTCCCGCTATACATAATGATAATGTCCTTTCACTAAAAAGTTAAAGGTTTTGTGACTATGCTGGACGCATTTATCCTATCGAACTCCAAATAAAGGATACCACAGAAACAGTTAAGATTGCCTCATATCTTGACTTACATCTAAAATTGACACTGTTGGTCGGTTGAGTACTAAACTTTACGACAAAAGAGACGATTCCAGCTTTCCAGAAGAAACTTTCCTTTTCTATATAGCACCAATCCAATTGGTAATAATGGGGTCATCCCATCGGAATTTTTACGGACGACGTCAGATATGGTTGACTGTTATGGAATATCTTTGTCACAGATGACCAATGATATTATATTTCAATTGTCTTAGTCACAATCCCGTCTTCTATTCGTCGAATTAGATTATTATCCGAAATTGTACTTGCCATGAGCAAGGATGTTGATGGGGGTTTACAGGATAGAAAATAACAAAAAAATAGAAAGAATAGAAAAAAAAATAAAGAATAGAGAATAATGAGGTGCTAAAATATAGAGAATAGAGAAAAATGACATAAAAAATGTTAAAAATACAAAAATGAAGGACCCCCATCCAGACCCTCACGAGCAACACGGAGGGTGTCACATGTGGAGGAAGGTCCGCAAAGTCTTTTGTTTTCTATGTAGTGTTTTGTACTCTGTTGATTGTATTTTCGTCTTTTTTGGGGGGGTTTATTATATGGTGTTGTCTGTTTTTTTCCGATTTTTTATTATTTAGCTTTCCTTTTGGTATCATTTTCTCTTTTTTACAATGAGTGGTTATTGTTTCAATGCGTACTGCGTACTCTTTAAATACTGGCCTTTGAATTCATTAGTCCGTACCACTTACAAACAAACAAAAGTTCACGACAATTATTTCATACAAACAAAGATTTCAACAAAAACACCAAGAAAATCCTTTTTTTAAAACAATTTTATGTATACGCATTCAATGCGGTTTTTTCGGTTGCTCACGTTTTTAACTCGTGTAATATAGTCCGCCTGACATCCGAAAATCTTACATCTTAAAAAAAAATAATGTTTATGACATACAGTTATCTACATCAAAATTTACATTAGTTGGCATGAAATGAAATGTCAGCTATCGTGTTTGAAATATTAAGAAAATTGGTACAATCTTACTAAAATCAGATCTTCCTCTTTGCTCCGTTGGATTGATAAGATTTGAAAACATTCCATAAGAGGTGATCATGGTCAGTGACCTTTAATCAGTTAAAGATGATTACCGTCCCCTCGGAGACGGTATTAAGAGTTGAACGATGGACAGTCTGCGGGCTGAAGGCTTTCTTACTACCTGATTGGAAGATATTGCTGACGCTGTCATAATTAAAGTTCGTTGATTGATTAGGACAACTCAAACCTAGTAAATGTCTTTTTATCCCGTACAGTGTCGGATCTGAACTCTTTATTTTAGTAAATAGATTTGCCTGGTTATCAATCATGCATATCGGTACACAGGTAACACTTATCTATGATTAGCCGAATCTCCTGAAGATTTGTAAACACACACGTGATTATTTCAAGTTACGTACATTTTATACGTGAAAACATAAGAAAACTTTTAGGAAAATGCATTTTTCTTAGGTTATATTTATTTATACTCAGTAAGATAATCTAAAGGCAACACAAACATTTTAAAACGGAGATATCAAATAATTTCTGTTTGATTAATATTAATTTACACGATAATTTTTATCTCAGGGGGCGGGGGCGGCGGCACTTCGACCTTTCTATGGCAGGGGTGAGCAGCTGAGACATCCAATACCCCACCCTTTATATATTACTTCAACTTGGTTCATTATAAAGCCATATGACTATTTACAAAAGGTTGGATGACATATGACCTTGAAAAATGACAACCGGAAGTGACCTTGAGAAAACCGGAAGTAGCCATTTTTGCACTTTCTTAATGGAAAAGTACTCGGAATCCATAATTGACATACATTAACTTATCACTGAAGTCTAGAAATGACTTTCGATAAACCGGAAGTGGCCAATTATCTCCTGGTTTACAAGCAAAAGTATATAGAAACTATATATTTTTGGAATCAGTGTGAAAGAAACTATTATGTGAGATCAGAAGTGACATTTACTTCACTGGAAGTAGCTAATTATCTCCCTTATTTCACTCAGAAGTATATAGAAACCACTTATTTATCGCATCAGTATGAAGAAACTGATGATAAGATGCCAATTTTAACTTTGAGTAAACACGAACTAGCTTCTTTTCAATAAATTTAAAAATTGCTGTGGAAAGACCTTCAATTGTTCTTTGAACAATTGGTTTTTAATTTCTATATGATTTGTTCCATCTCTATAAAATAAGTTCCACAATTTACCTGGTGAAATAAGTTCTGGGTTTGTGAAATTTGTTCCTTACCTAGTGAAATAAGTTCCGGGTTTGTGAGATTTGTTCCTTACCTGGTGAAATAAGTTCCTTGTCTGTGAAATATGTTACACTGGTTATAAAAGTTATCTTTTATACTGAGCATTGTTATCAGTGAGTTTAAAGTTATAATTCAAGTACATTATAAAAAACATGTATTATATTGATAATGTAATAAATAAAAGGTGTAAGCATCCAATATGGATTCTGTGGAGTATAGCAAAATGTTTAATTACATTATCCATAAAAAAAATACCCAAATGACAATAATTTAATGAGGCAGATAAGCAAAGAATAAGAAAAATCCGTCAGAAATTTTTTATAGATCGATCATTTATTTATGAATATTGCAATTCAACATATGTTACTTCATATCAGAATTTGTAGATAAACTGTTATCACAGAGATATGTCTCGCCCTTTTGTAATTTTGATTATGCAAATGTTGAAATTAAATAGCAATACTTTAACATGTTTCATAAGTTATGCAAATATTCAAAGTCAACGAACCATGACTGAGGTACATGGCTAGACAATCTCCATGTTAATGAGATGTGCCAAAGCTAATACAACTGCATACCAAATACCATTGACTTATTATTATTCGTTCCCTTTAAACAAACCTAAACACAAACATTAACTTGTAAACTATGTAAAAGTTTCAAAGTCAATGAACCATGAAGAGGGGGTGGGGCTATTTAATCTCCATGGAAACGCTACTTGCAAATGCTAATAAATTTGCATACCAAATATCGTGGACTTAACATTAGCAGTTCGTCTTAAACTGATCTAATCACAAACTAATACATGTAAACTAAGCAAAAGTTTCTAAGTCGATAGACCATGATTGAGGGGCGTGGCCAAATATTGTCCATGGTAATGAGATGTGCTAATGCTTATACAACTGAATACCAATTAACATTTGCCTAACCTAAATGGTTCCCCTTGAACTGACCTAATCACAAACTAATACATGTTAACTTAGCAAAATTCTCAAAGTCAATAGACCATGACTAAGGGGGCGGAGCCAAATAATCTCCATGGAAATGAGATATGCCAATACTTTACATCTGCATACCAAATATCATTGACCTACCACTAGTGGTTCCCCATAAACTGACCTAATCACAAACTAATACATGTAAAAGAGGGACGAAAGATCAGAGGGACAGTCAAACTCATAGATCGTAAACAAACTGACAACGCCATGGCCAAAAATAAAAAGACAAACAGACAAATAATAGTACAGATGACAGAACATAGAAAACTAAAGACTAAGCAACACGAACCCCACCAAAAACTGGGGGTGATCTAAGGTGCTCCGGAAGGGTAAGCAGATCCTGCTCCACATGTGGCACCCGTCGTGTTGCTTATGTTATTACAAATCCGGTAAATAGTCTAATTCGGTAGGTCACATTCGTGAAAAGAGAAGGGTATTGTAGTTACGACATAAGGAACATATCCGATATCATCTGTGAAACGGTTATTCCATAACGGTCAACCAACTCGTGATGGCGTCCGTAAAATTTACGAAGGGATGATTTCAACTTCACCATTTGGAACTCATAGTGAACTTAAAATAGCTTTGCAGAACTTATCACTTTCTTTATAACCAACGACGTCCATTATAATTTGAAAAAGAATGGCGGCGAAACTACTATGTTTTGAATTTCAGGCGCTTACGATAGGTCTTATATAACAAATTACCCGTCTCACGACTCTGAGTATTTTTCATAAAAAAAAAATAATCAAGAAGTCCAATAAAACCAAATAATCTGAAAAAAGAAACATTTAATTGTTAAGGATACTCATTATTCAAATATAGAAAAAGAGGCGTTGGGCATTCCACATTGCAGTCCAACTACAATGAATAGACAAAATCTTCATCGACAACAAAAACCATACATATATGTGAAGCTTTACATTTTAAGGATCATTTTTGAAAAGATGTGAGATACCGTTGGAAATATATTAATTGTGTTCTTATATGTTTAAATGTTACTACGTTTCACTCTCTGCACTTTTCGATGCCTATTATAAACGAAAAACTTTCAGGTGGAAGCGGCCATACTTTTCTAACACAAATAAATAAGCAAACCACCAAAGAAAAAGTCAACGAACAACTCCGATATCTGTTTGAAAAATAATAATTGATAGAAGACATTACCCCTCCATTTCCAGTGTTAATACTTTCCCCCAAAAGAAATTGGTTAATCTAAAAAATTGTATAAGCCTTTTATAATTTTTGTAATCCACTACAATTTACATACAATTCTGAACGAATTGAACTACGAAGAGAAAACATTTTCCACTTTCATCAGCTATGAGACGGCTAGATTTTGAGAAAAGCTATTACTTGTGTATTCCTCTCAGTTAATAACATACCAGCAAATTTGACAGATTCCTCTCCGGTATTAATACACCTGTGAAAGTTACATTTTCCTCTCGGTTAGCATAAATTGAGAGGGAATGGTTTTCTCCCAGTGAATGACATACCTGTGAAAGTGACAGGTTCCTCCCAGTTAATAACTCCTGGTCTCTGAATGAAGTATTTCAACGATGTTACACTTTTCGAATGGCACATATAAGTATGACTAAAATATTTAGGTACCTGAAAAGATGAGAAAGTATCTTTTTATAAATATATTTGTTTGATTACAACTTTGCTTTTACAATTAAGATATTCATTCTTACACAAAGAGCGTATTTGTTGCAATTAAAGATTGAACAAGAGAGGCGAAAGATACCAAAGTGACATTCAAACTCATAAGTCGAAAATAAACTGACAACACCATGTCAAAAAACGAAAAAGACCAAAAAAACAAACAACAGTATACAAAACACAATTCTGCCTTCGGTTGTTTTAAACCATTTATGGGTAAAAATAACCTTTATAATATAAATCCAAAAAATGGCATCAAAAATTATCTAAAAACATTTGTAATATAATATAATTTAATTTTGGATGTAACACGTCTTCTGAAAGTGTTTTGTCTATCAGCTCATAGACATAATTTTGTCATGTGACCTTGGCGTCATCAAAGTTTTTTTTTCTTGATTCACTCCTTAAAAATGGAATTTAGAATTAAATTATAAGGAATGACTGTAATATTTTTTCTGTATATTCGAGATAACAAAAAAAATGTGGTGCACACTTTTAAATAATACGCGGGTTATTCAGTGTGCACCACATTTTTTGATGTAACTGCTTCATAGACAGAAAAAAATATTACAGTCATTTCTTAAATAATATAAATTTTCACTCAATGTTACTTTTATTTTCGTTCGAAACACACCTCATATATAACCTGACTGCGCTATATTTGTGACGTGTTTATGTTGGGTTCTGAATACTATAGTATAATGTTAAGATTTTAAATTTGGACTTTTTTTATTGAGGATCATAAGGAAGATATACATGAAATTGAAATCGCAAGGTAAATTTTAAGTTGTAGTTTTAAATTGAAATTTAGCAGACCTCTGTACATTAATTACAAAAGGAAAGAATAAAGGGGTAACCAATGCCATAACACTTTGACCAAAGACAGAAAGACGAACAGACAAAAAACAATCCACGAAACACTATACTAGAAACTATATAAGGCAATACGGAAGCCTTACAAAAACGAAGTGAATTCATGTTCTCTAAAGGGCAAAGTATCTCCTACTCGATTAGAGACACCCGTCGTGTTACTCTTCTTAAAATTCGTTGATAACATGCAGACTAAAAAAGTTGAGATTTCTTTCTGGCGGTCATGTTGTTTGTCCGATATGAATAATGATCAACATTAATTGACTATTGTTTGATTCAGACTGGTCATGTCAACAACCTTTTCCTCTGAAAGTACATGGTGGCCATATTTACTTTATTAATTCAAATAAAGCCGCTCGTTGTCCCTTGTACTTTTTTAATTTTGTTTACATGTAATAGGTTACCTTGTGGTAAAGGTCTAGGTGTTAAAACATTTATTTCTCGTCTTTTTGTTACTTTTTGGAAAATCCTTCCATTAGCAATAAAACAATATCTACTTGAAAATTTTGTCGGGGAGAAATAATATTCTTTCCAGGGATTTTGTTTTAAACTTGCGACATTGTATAATGAAATTTAAAATGACTATACATTATAGGTTTTGCTCATTGTTGAAGGTCGTGTGGTAACCTATGGTTTCTTACATTTACGACATTTGGTTTCTGGTAGATAGTTGTCTCATTGCCAATCATACCACATCTTCATATTTTATATCAACTTCTTAGTACCAAAAACATGTATCAGATTAGGAGTTTGACCCGGTTTCTGTATTTTCCTTCTTTGGTTACACGGGTCTATTAATAAAATGTTTTAATATTTTACTTAACCAACTTACTTATATCTACACATGTATATTGGTTTCAGTATATCGAATGACAAATCATTGTCAAATGCGTTTACATTTGTGAATTTGTAGGGCCCACTGAAGTTCTTGTCCTTTAATCAATGTGACCTAGATTTATTGAATAATATCATTTTGTATTATGTTGATCACACACGGTTTAAATATATATGGTATCATACATACATACAAACTGAAACGGTGAACGAACCTTAATTGGTATTGACCTTGAAATAATAAGAATAAAAATCTTTATCCACAAAAAATATTTTCCTTCTTTCTTCTCCAACCCAAATCCAATAAATCTGATATTATTTAAACTGCCACTGGAAAACAGGTGCATGTTGGATATGGTAAGAACTTGCAGCAGGTCACCTACAGGTCCCTCGAAGAATTGTGGCAATGGTACTTTAACTACACAATACCTACACGAGGCATTCAATTTCATCATCCCCATTCTGACCGGACGTGGGTGCGTATAATACATCCCGCACAACAAAGTGGACATCTTTAATAAATAGTTACTATTTATACATTTGTTAATAAATGTATATCATGTACATATTAAGTAAATTATTTCACTGAAAATTCAAAGAATAACTTTTGTTCATAATATTACTTTTGAAAGATTTCTTTGAAAGGGAAAGCGTTTAAAGGCTATTGGAGGCAACCGACGTTTTTGCTTTCTTACACAAAAAGTGCATAAATTTCAGTATACTCTGAAACCATGATATCAGTGTTTCGACATTGCATTGTAAGGATATAGTAAGTACCTGTTTTTCTGATTGTGGACGGAGTATTATACATGACCATGATGGCCAGTTATCTACCAGTACTTCATAACCTTGCAAATTTCCATTCACATAACTTCTTATTACGTAATAAATCTGAAAAAAAAAAGAAAATGAAAAGAAATGGAAAATTTTTCAACATGCTAGAAATATTAAAATTTTGATATTGTTAGTTTATTTTTGTTGTTGGTTTTTTTTTCTCGTGCTTGTATTTAGGGGGTCTAGTTCACAAACCATGACGTATATATTTCTTTTATTCTCTGTGCATTAATACCGGTTCTGAACAGTTTGACAAATTTCGATAAACCACACGTTGATCAAATTTGCTTTGAATAATTTCACTCCATACCCATGAGGGTTATACAATAAAAAAAATATGAGTACATCTGTATTAACAACAAATTGATTTTCAAGTCGGTGTTCAAAATCATTTACCCTTCCGAAGCACCTTACTTCGATCATAGTGTTTGGTAATTTAGAAATTTCAAATTATATCTATAACAAGATTTTGTTTACGGAGATATGCTATGATAATTTATTTTAATCAGATAACTATCCAGCTGACGTGGATGTAAGTAACTATAGACCAAACTGAGTATAGCTTTCAACAATGAGAAAAACCTATAACGTATATAGTCAGCTAAAAAAGACCCAGAGATGACAAAATATATAACAATTTTTAAAGGAGAAAATAAACGGTCTGATTTATGATTTGTGACAAAACAATAAACGAGAAAAATTATACAGACAGCAAACAACGACAACCACTGAATTACAGACTCCTGAATTCTGGTTTCATACAGTAGCAGTAATAGAATATCATCGCTGTCGTTTAAATAAATGATAAATGAAAATGTGCTTTTCAATGAGAAATTTTGTAACATGTACGATTGTAGCTTACGCAATTATTATATTGATTCCCCCAAACACACAAAGTGCAATGCATTGATTAAAAATTCACTTGTGCCTTCAATAATCCGCACATCTACAGTAATTCAATTAATAAAACAAACAAATTAATATTAAAATCCCTTTGCTAGATGGGCTCTAAACAGTATTGATCTATGATCGCGTAATGCATTTTGAATTATACACGCTATACTCCAAACGACAATAGAACTCAAATCGCAGTTATGTTATTTCTTGACCATTTATTTCCCTTCCGAAAATCGGACTCAAACATGATCCTCTAAAGCGCTTTGAAGTATTTTACAGCGTAGAAACAAACATGATCATATTTGTAGAACACTCTTCTTTGTTTATATTACTAAGTATTAACGATGTAGGCACAAACAATGTACCAATGACGATCTTCATACGTCGATGAAATAATTAATTTCGTATAATTATTCTATGTATACTAGTCAACAAAAGTAACGGTACACAAGTTTGAACTCCAATTTATCATAAGATATAATAAATAGGGAAAACTGTTGAATTATCCAATGAAAACATTCATTTGCAAAGCAAATGCATACGATTAAAAGAATCTGACCAAATTGGAAAGTGAGAAAATATCGTGTTATTGAACACAGGAGTCAAATTTATTTTGCGGAAAATGATGACAAAAGTCGGCACTTAATTTCGAAGATGAAAATTAAGTATTCAAATATCTGCAAAGGCATTCAAAATTTTAAGCAGACCATGTTTGGGTTTAAAATTTAAAGGTCCAAAAATCGATTTTTGAATTTTTGGGTGAAAATACGATTTTTGAAATAACAAAAATTGCAACAAAAAAATTCGCGTTTTTGCCGTAAATCAATGGTTTTGATAAGAAAATAACACTCTGTAAATATTAGACCAATTAGGCAATTACTTACCTTGGCACAGTGTATTAAATTTCGTTATATATGGAAAATATATTGCCTTGTATCGTTTCTTTTGTTGACTAGTATATTTACAATTTTCAATGGCTGTAATAGGTATGGTGTAAATATTGGTTTAAAATATTCTGGGCTTCCAAATCAAATATTGAAACTATGTCTTGATACATTTTGCACAATACAGACTGTAGATTTAAACTTATGTATCCAATTGATCCAAACAGAAACTAATTTATAAAAAGCACCTGTTAACTCATGTGCCCATCAATTATCTCAACAAAGGAATACAAATACGGAAATCCTCTTATCTAATCATGACGTAACACGCTATTCAAATACTGTAACACTTTTTATGTCTGAACAAGTGCATGTATTTATAGTGATTGATGTCGAATTTATGGCCTTAATTTTTCATTAACAGGGATGTGATCCTAACGCCCATATGGAGGAGAAAGTCAAGCAGCCTGAAAACGACGATCAGAATATACACCAGCAATGTGAAGTCAGTTCTTCTATATGGGGCAGAATGCTGAAGAATTATCCAATCAGACATGAAAAGGCTTTCCTCATTTCATAACACCTGCTTAAGGAAAATCTATAAGATCATCTGGCCCAATAAAATAACCAATAAAGACCTGTACCACAAAACCAGTCAGTGTTGTATAGAGACGGAGATCAAAAGGAAGAGATGGCGTTGGATTGGTCATGTATTAAGGAAAGGAAATGATGATATCACCAAGATTGCTTTGCGATGGACACATGATGGTAGACGAAAAAGAGGGAGGCCAAAAGAGACGGAGATCCAAAGGAAGAGATGGCGTTGGATTGGTCATGTATTAAGGACTGAAGGAAATGATATCACCAAGATTGCTTTGCGATGGGCAGATGATGGTAGACGAAAAAGAGGGAGGCCAAAAGAGACCTGGCGTAGATTGGTAGAAACTGAGATGAAAGACATTGGGAAGACCTTGAAGGAGATTGGTAGAAACTGAGATGAAAGACATTGGGAAGACCTGGAAGGAGATTGAGAAGAAGGCAAAAGACAGGCAAATGTGGCGAGTACTGGTTGAGGTCTTATGTCCTGACAGGCACGAAGAGGATGAGGGAGTGAGTGGGTGATCCTAACGCAAGAAGTGTCCCAGCTGGGTTAGGACTAGGAACGGCTAAAATCGTAGGACAGAAAGTTACAGGGTAAAAAGCATCGGGACAAAAAGCCAAGGACAGTTTTGAGATATTCATTTTCTTAAATTAACAAATGAAAGACTTGTTTAAAAATATTTTTTGTATTTTTCTTTTACTTTCAAATCTACTAATTGTCTCCTATTCCGAGTCCTGGTATTTTGACTGAGCCTGAGCTCGCTTCCATAGCAAGAACCGCTAACCCTGATGATGCATCCGGTCTCGCTTCGTTTAAAGTTCATGCGATTCCCGCAGATTTTTTTATTGTGTTGCCTTTGACTGTGAACATTTCAAAATGGATTTACGAGTTTCGAACATCGGTCTGATGTTGTCTCTTATATCACAAAAGTAAAAATTAGTTTATAATAATATGTATTTTGCCAGTTAATTTGTATTGGTTCCTTGTGACCCTTATATTTGTGGTGATGGTTAATCTAAAAAAAAATTACTTTGCTTACAGCTAACAAGACGAGCATTAAAATCACTGTTCCTTTGTTGGGTCTGTCAAGTGTTTTGGGTCATGAGCAACAATACAAAATTCTTTGCCGGAATTTTTAATGCGAAAAATAAAATGTGACCTTAAAGTACTAATCTGAATGAAAGTGATCAAATGACCAATAGGTAAAAATCTGCATATTATTAAATGTGAAATAATGAAATAAAATAAAGTTTGTTGTATTCATTCGAACATATTTGATTCAGAATCAAATATGTTCGAATGAATCAAATATGTTCGAATGAATACAACAAACTTTATTTATTTGATTTTTCTAATTTATAGCTAGAGTAGTTCATCTTGAAACACATTGATAAAATAATTTACAATTGTGAAATTCGTCCTGTTTTTCGAACACATGACTTGAAATAAATTAATCATGAATCGAGACCACTGTAGATAAACCTGACCTAAAACAAACAGTTATCGAAAAATTTACTCCCTTTATAAGGAATCTTTAGTACTAAAATATAGATCTTTTGTTGCAAAGGTTTTTACGCCGATAGGACAAAACGTGCCGGTGTACTTCAAAATGTTATTAGATCGCGAAAACTGTTATTCACAGTACATCAAATTATGTATTGAATACCGCTTGTAACACGTTATGTGTCGGGAGAGATTACAATAAAGAATTTGAACTTGAACTTGAACAATTAATTCCAAGACTTCACTACACTAAACAGTCGTGGTTGGCATAAAATCCCATGCTATAGAGCAGACTATCGCAATGCTCAGAGCCAAAAGTAGAACATTTTTTTCTGTTCAGTTCCGATAGCTAAATTTTAATCATAAGCAGTGAATTCTGATGGTGACCCCTTTTCATGTATTTATTATATATATTTATGTAATAAGATTTTCAAATTTTGTTGTTTTACTTTTATTGCTCGCAATATCCACCAATCATAAAACGAATAATCAAAAGCACTGATAGAGTCCGAACACCTCAATTTACGTTAAAAGTCACAAAAAAGACTTCTACCGAATAACAAATGTAAAATGCACTCCATGGGTTTAATACTTTAAAGTTGTCCTTAAAACTTAAAATTTAAACCAAAAGAAGTTTACAAATAAAATATTTATTAATGCATTTTGATGATTTGTACTTATGATCTCTATTTTTCCTGAAGCTGTCCTTCAGATAACTGAAATTAAAGTTGGCATCCGGTTGCATAATATATTTATTGAATAATTTTATTTTTTAAAAAGCAAAAAGGAGAATATGTTGTTTCGACATCATGTGTTGTTGATCTTGTTTCTCTTTTATTTTTTTAATTTGTAATATGAGTAAATTTTTCTCATCAATTACATTGACAACATAAATAACATTTAAAAAAATATTAATAAAATTGGCATTTTGAATTAAGAATTGTTATCAATATCCATATAAATAAGCATCAATCAACTCTTTTTTTTTTAACCTAAACTTGTGCACGTCTCTCTTTATTTGAAAAAAAAAAACAATTTCTCGTTCAATTGAATGAAAAACAAGTAGCACCTCGTCTTCTTTACCTAACAACAAACCAGAAACATGGGGTATGAATAAAATATTCAGAATTCGAGAATACAGCGACGAAAAGAAAGCTTTGCTATAACTATTATTTTTCATTTCTTTAAATGACCTTCTCCGTCGAGAAAATGACTTTCATTTTTAAGTGTTGCATAATTTTATATTATTTAAATTAAAATATTTATAACGTATTAATAAGTCATATCAATTATAATCTTGAAGGCTGTTTGTAGGTTAACCACAGTTGTGTAACATAACGTCTGCTGGTATTTCTCATGGTTAACCATATACCATGGTACTTTTTTTTATCATATAACAAATTTTAATTATAGAATAATACATAAAAAGTAGAACAGGATTGGACAGTACTTGAGACCAAACACCATGTTACTTTTTTTTTTATCATATAACTAATTTTAATTATAGAATAATACATAAAAAGTAGAGCAGGATAGGACAGTACTTGAGACCAAACAATCTACCTGACTCCGCCGAGAAAATAGAAATACCAACAAACAGAGACAACCATGAACAAAATACAGGGTCTAAATGGCCTGAATTGAGAAGGACATAAATGGTGAAGGGTTAAAACAGTTTAACGTCCTTTCAAACTATCTCCCGCTTTGCTTATCTACACTAAAATTTCGGGGAAAAAACAAAACACAGTACATGTATAGGTTACCTAAACACCAAAATGTAACCCTGGTTTTGAGATTTGTCTACACAGAGTTATTGCCTACACTGCACCCTAGTGTAAAACAGGCTAGAAAAACAACCAAATAAAACACTAAATAAGGACCTCGAACACAAGCTAACTGGGTATGTTAATAACTTAATGAAGGAATTGGTGGAAATTTTGTTGCTTTATTAAACAAGTAGTTTACTGTGTTGGTTTAATAAGGAGAAAATCTTTGTTGGTATTCCGATAAGGCAGTACATATCCTTTAAGCTGAATCAAGTGAATTGAATTAAGTATATTAGAAAATAATATAAACTTTTAAAATTCTGTATAATACCGATTTCTTACCTTTGCTGTACCTGGTAATGATTTTCTGAGTTCTTTTTCTAATTCCACAACTTCGCTTTCATTTAATATTTGGTATATCATAATTCCTACATGTAATACACATGTATAGTATGTCGATTATACCTGTCGTAAAGGTATACTAATGTATTCGTATATATTTTTACCTGTTTTCACGTGACCAATATTTGATCTTTAATGGACCAGGTAGTATTTTTTAAGACGATCACATGTCCTTGCCATGCTGTGTTAGTGGATAGATTTAACAATTCGGTCACTGTACTGTAACGTATTCTTGACCCATTGATAGTCCCTGTTTAAACAAGATAACTGTGTTTTTACTATCCTTGTCGAGACCAGTGATATGACTCTGAATCAATTTGTGTATTGAGTTATTATTTATAAGTCTTTGTATACGGCTTGTTTACATGTAAAATGTTTGTTCCCCTGAAAGTGTAAATTTTGTTATTAAAGATCCAATTAAAAAAAGTTATGAATCTACGGACTGGTGTTTTTGTTTGATAATGACCCCACTTAACATTTCTATTTTTTTTAAATATAATATGTGTAAGAAGATGCATCTTTCGAAAGCGGTAAGGCTAATTTCTATTGGTTTTAGATCAAATCAGGGCCAATTTCAAAAAAATATTTTCCAATCTTTACTATAATTCACAGTGTCACAGCTTCGTGTGTACTGTCAGACAAAAAAAAAAATAACATAATGTCCTAAATTATGAATATTTAAAATTGGCAAAATTTAAAGATTTTATCAAATATTGTTAATGTTTAAAAGGGCATTCCAAACAAAGTCAAAATTCTAACGAAAGGACTTCAATGCAATCAATGTCTCTTAGATACAAATTAATTCATTTGGTTCAGAATGTCATTCGAGACAAAAGCTTACATTACATGTCTAAATGTGCAATATTGAATAAGTGTTGTTTTCAACAGCAATCATGCATAACACAGAAGATTTTTTTTTAAAGTATATGAATATATGTAAACATTTTGAAATTCTTTTAAAAAGTCTCTTCATAAAACCCACTGTGTTTCATTTCCTTTCCGAATTTGACCTTGTGAGAACAAAACAAATATGGGAAGGTGTCCTTGACTGTTGTTAACATGAACAATTTGTAGATAAGTAAAAGAAAAAAGGTGAACTTTACGTTAACGAATCAATGTTGCAAACAAAGCTTTAAAATACATGGCATTTTGAAGTACAGGCAACGCAATCTGTGAATTTTTTTTTTTTTGTATTTTATATGATTTTTTTTTAATGCTAAAGGGATATTCGTTGCATAGCCAAACGCCCGTTTTAGCTTGGTTTGTATTCATACAGGTTATTTATGTTTACCATGTTCACGTATACATGTACCTATGTATATAACAGTTTAAAATAAGTTTTTCTTCCATTAAAAACCAAGTTTCAGGTGAAAAAAAAAATTCGTATGACTGAGAAAATTATGAGAATAAAATCTCGATTTCAATGATAATTTTCAGTTTCTCATTGCCTGATTCATTATTTTAAAATGTTTTAATCAATTACACAAACAGCTCGATGGATTGAACGATTGTCGTTCATTTAACGCCCAGCAGCGAATATTTCAACTACCTACAGTGTAAAAGGGCGCGGCATTTGGAATATCATTGCAAATACGATATGTTGGTTCGTGCAGAAATTTCCCGAACACCTGGGTCACTAAAAGAGTAATTCTAAGGGTCCGTGGACGTACAGATTCATTCAAAAAGGACATCGAATTTAATGCCCTTATTCCATTAGACTGAAAGCCAACATACATCCCTTGCATGACCGTAAAAGTTCCATGTAGATAACCATATTTCTTTATCCAAGTCAACCTTGGATAACACAAATTAGATTTATTTTAGTGAAACATTAATTGATATATTCATTTAAATGCATTTTACACATTTCACGTTGAAGAAATATGACAAAAAACGGTCTTTTTGAAAATCCCCCAAAACGATGATGACTATCAAAGCATTATCCGACTGCTTTTTTTAAGAACTGCCAAATAAGTTTACACAATGTTTATCCAAATAAAATATCTCATAATTAAACATAATACATGAAATAAATAGAATTCGCTGACAATTAAACTTGAAATAGCTTAAACATATAGAAATTAAAAAAGTCTCAATTAGAAAAATGAAATTGTATGTCGTAATTTAATCAAACCCAACTGACCAAAATCATGAGATAGCTGAGTGCCAATAAATGCAACTCCTTTCCTGTTCAACATATGTTAAGGAGAAAGAAACTTCAGCAAACAGAGCTGTTAAATACTGTTATCTGTGGAGTTTCATATTACATGTACTTTGAATTAGTACTACCGGACCGATACCATTGCTAGTCGACTAAAAGTCCCTAAGAGTTTCGTCTGGTAGAATGTGCCTATAGATGTACTGTTTTGATGTTACTTTGAGAACACAACCAATTAAATATATTTTTTGAAATGCGCAAAGGCTGCATCAAGTTGTAATTTTGAGTAAAACACTGTGACTATGAACTACTAGATTTCGACAGCATCACTTTTAACCTGATTCGTTTGCGCTCTTAGATAACTTTCAATCAAGAAATTACAGTGGAAAACACATAATCTATCCTATCTTATCATTTGGGAAGTTACAATATTCTGCCGTAGGATCGAGGTTCAAAACAGGAATTGATTTTTCTCTTTTCTCTTAGAGTAAATTTAAAAGTCATTATCAATTTTGCTACGGAGCAGTATATATAATCGTGTTATGTATGTTATCGATTTTATATTTATCTATAATTATTTTTTTTGTTATTTGTTTAGGGGGAAGGGGGTAATCTTGACTACCCAATACTGGTGGTCGTGTATGGATATCACCCGTGTATTTCTATCATGTTAATACATGTCTTCCTTTTTATAATTTTGATTATGAAATTCAATTTACGAATCTGCATGATGTAGAATATAGAATAACAATTCAAGTTTATCATCAAAACAATCTTGGATAAAATTATTTTGTTAAGGGAAATACATATTCAAAAGATAATCATTTTCACATTGGGATAGGAATTAATTAAGCTTATAAATTAAATTAAGTACCCTATTTAAGAATATTTGCCAAAAAAGCTGAACCAATGTCTTTACAATGTTTAAATGTCATTTAAAGGCACTTTTGACATGTACAGCATGGTATCGGAACAACCTGTTATATTTAAATATGGATCAACGAAATATGTATATTAATCAGGTACTAGTACATGGAGTTACTCGACTTTTATCATTTCATATCTAACATTTCCAGCTTTTGACTTCCATTGAAGTACATTTTGAAATTCATGCTACCATTAGTAAGACTTTGGTCTTACTTGGAGATCGGTAATAAATATAACCTTATTTTAGCTTATTCTGCCCTTTTGTGAAGACTTCTGGAATGAATGATGACACTTTTTCCAGAAGTAGACAAAATTGAAATTACACTAGTCATGTGACCAATTTTCAATATCCTGAATTGTGAATACAGCCGAAGTATAGGAAAAATTTCGAGAAAAAGGTAATTCCATGCTGATATGCAGCTGTTCACAAAAAAATTTATAGGAAGAGGCACTCATAAAGAACATTTTAGAATGTTTTGTTAATCATATAAAAATACGTAACTGTTTTTTTTTTTTTTTGTATCGTTTTACCTTGCAGCACAGTTGTTTCTGTAAATTTGAATTTTTAAAACTATACTTCTAATAGTTTCAGTTGTTACTTCTGGAAGTTTTATCTTTCGAAGGAAGAAAAATATAATTGTTACCACTCATCGAGCGCGATACAATATGTCTCCTCTTGTAATTGTTACCACTCATCGAGCGCGATACGATATGTCTCCTCTTGTAATTGTTACCACTGATCGAGCGCGATACGATATGTCTCCTCTTGAGACAGCGGAATTTCTTATTTAAAACGCAAGGCTTGTCGAGCGTTTGAAATATTTATTAAAGTTTATTTTGCAAAAATTATTAATTGTCAAGAGTGGAGAGATATCGTATCGCACGAAATGCAGTGGTGGATTGATTTGTTATTTTTCTGTTTCTCAACTTTGACTGGGCCAAAATTCATTTATCTTTTGACTTTTCTTATGCTATCTGGTATATTTTAAGTTGTATAACCATACGACGATATGTCGCATATAATCTTAACCTTCACGTGACCTTAACCTTCGACCTCAGGTTCAGAATAGTTGATACCCCAAGAATGACTGCTGTATATATAGAAATATGGTCACTTTTGGTCTTCTTCTGACCGGTAGTAAAACCCTTGCCTATGTGGGATGATCGTTAGGTTGTACGGAATACATAAAATACGCAGCAACGTCCGGTCAGAACTGGGACGTTAAATTTAATGCCTGGTATAGAGAGACTGACACGCTTTCTGCACGTTAAGATTCCTTGCAACAAGTCTTTGAGGGATCCGTAGGTGGCCCCCGTTTGCAAGACTTAATTTCTGTCCCTATCCAATATATCCTCATTCTCCGTTGGTTTTCCAAATTTCCCTTTCGTTATCCCGGTCGACCCCATTTTGCAAGACCTGCCTATTGTATTCATTGTTAACTTTGTTCTCATCCTGAACATGCATGAACTATTTGACATCGGACGTTAAGCAATCAACAATTAATCAATCAATCGGAGTATATAGTTGATTTTTTCATTGGTATTTTCGCGTCCGGGACATAACTTTATCATCCTTTGACATAAGGTTAGGATACGTCCGGGACATAACTTTATCATCCTTTGACATAAGGTTAGGATACGTCCGGGACATAACTTTATCATCCTTTGACATAAGGTTAGGATATTTGGTAAATAGGTGCATCACCATAAGAAGATGTCTATAATACCATGGAACGGGATCTCTGACCTTGACCTTTTACTAGTACTTCAAGGTCAAATAATTTATTTTAAGAAAACTTTCGTGTTCACTCCAAAACCATGTACTATCTTGTTTGTAATGTCAAGACCTTTTCAGTACACACAAGGGCTTGGACCTTAAAGCGGTAATGCCCCATCCCCTCTTTTAATAAGTCCCGATCCCGACCTCTAACCATATAATTTCAATTGCCTTGATTAGGCATTTTTGAGCCACCACGGATTTTGTCCCTGTGGGACTAGCCTGGCATCCTGACCCAATCTAA